GCATCCTTCACCAGCAGCTTGGTCAGAGGCAGGGCAATCTTTGAGAAATCTTTAATGAAGCGCCGGTAGAAGCCTGCATGACCCAAGAAGCTGCGAATCCCCTTCACAGAAACGGGAGGAGGTATCTGACTGATCGTCTCAATCTTCACGCGATCCACCTCAATCCCCTGCTTGGAGATCTTGTGCCCGAGCACAATCCCCTCACGGACCATAAAATGACACTTCTCCCACCTGAGTGCCAGATTTGTCTCCTCGCACCTCTTCAGAACGAGTTCCAGGTTATGGAGACAATGAGTGAAGGAGTCTCCATAAACCGAGAAGTCATCCATGAAGACTTCCATGATCTCTCCGACCAGTCAGTCGAAGATTGTCAGCATGCATCTCTGGAAGGTCGCCGGTGCATTACATAGCCCGAATGGAATCCTCCGGTAAGCAAAGGTACCGAAGGGGCAAGTGAATGTGGTCTTCGCCTGATCCTCTAGTGCAATAGGAATTTGGAAATAACCAGACAAGCCATCCAGGAAGCAATAAAACTCATGGCCAACCAACCGCTCCAGCATCTGATCAATGAAGGGTATGGGGAAATGGTGTTTCCTTGTGTCATCGTTCAGGCGCCGGTAATCGATGCAGACTCTCCAGCCGGTCACGGTCCGCATCGGGATCAGCTCTTTCTTCTCATTCGGGATCACAGTCATCCCGCCTTTCTTCGGAACCCCCTGAGTGGGGCTGACCCACTTGCTGTCAGATATAGCAAAGATGATCCCTACATCCATTAGCTTCACAATCTCTGCCCGGACCACTGCCTCCAATTTGGGAGACAATCTCCGCTGTGGCTGCCTGACTGGCTTAACCTCATCCTCCATCAAAATTCTGTGGGAGCAGAAGGATGGGCTTATGCCACTGATATATGTGATCTTCCAAGCCATGGCTCGGACATACTTCTGCAGCAAAGTCACTAACCTGCTCTTCTACTCGGGTGTTAGATCCGAGCTGATAATGACCGGGAGCTTATTCCCCTCTCGGAGAAATGCATACTCCAGGTGAGAGGGGAGGGGCTTCAGCTCCATATCTGGTGGCTCCTCCAATGATGTAGCGATCCGGGGCGAGATAGGGATCGGATTGAATGGTATCTCTCGCCCCTCGATCACGGCCTCGTCTAGCTCTGTGAGCTGCTCCTCCAGCTGCACATCCTGTGATGCCTACTCCCCTAACAAAAGACAACGCTTGAGGAAATCATGAGTACCCGCACTCGTGATGGCGAGTGCGGTCTCAAAATCAGCAACAACATCACAGTAGTCTAGATCATAATGGAGCTGGGGGTGTTTCATTTTATCAGAAACAGAGAAGGTGATTTGTTCACCCCCAGCTCGTAAAATCAATTTCCCGTCATTCACATCAATGAGCGCCTTGGCGGTGGCGAGAAAAGGTCTACCCAATATTAAAGGCACATCCACATCCTCATTTATGTCCAAATTCACAAAATCAACAAGATACGAGAATGGCCCTACTACGACTATCAAGTCCTCTACAATGCCCCTAGGATGCACAATGGATCTATCAGTAAGTTGAATTCTCATCCTAGTATCACTGGGTTCACCTAGGCCTAGCTTTTTAAACAGTTTATATGGCATGACATTTATGCTAGCGCCTAAATCCGCCAAGGACTTCCCTATATGCAAACTACCAATCATGCAAGGGATAGTAAAACTCCCTGGGTATTTTCGCTTCTCTGGTAGTTTGTTCTGCAGGATGGCAGAACACTCCTCGTTGAGCATCACCGTTGACAGCTCCCCAAGCTTTCTCTTGTTGGTGAGGAGATCCTTCATGAACTTGGCATACTTGCGCATCTTCGATAATGCCTCCACGAAGGACATGCTTATGTTTATTTGCTTGAGCATTGCCATGAACTTGGCAAATTCAGTCTCCAGCCAGTCTTTGTGCAACCGAGTAGGAAAGGGAAGCTGCGGTACATACTTCTTCACCACTGGTTGCAGTTTAGGAGCAGGCACCTCAACCTCCTTCTCCATTTCCTCCTGACTAGCTGGAAGTGTTGAAACAGGGGTCTCTCTCTCTTGTGCCCGAACAGGTGGATCAGCAGTCATCTTGCCACTCCTGGTAGTAATTGCCTTGCAATGCTCATTTGGGTCCTACGGATGAGGGATGGTCTGACCGGGTAGAGTACCAGGAGTCCTCTGAGCTACAGCCTGGGCAACACTCCCAAGCTGGGTCTGGATATCCCGCAACACAGCCTGCTTGTTTCTCTGACCAACTTCTAGCTCCAAGAACTGCTCGATGTTATTGAACTTGTTTGCACCGGAGGTGGCCAGAGAACCCACCAGATCTCGCAATTCCGCCATCGGGTCACTCTATACTGGGGCTGCAGGTGCTGCCCCTGTCTGATGAAATGGCCTCACCTGTGACTGAGGTGGAACTGGCCCCTGTCTGGGCGGGTAGAGAGGCTGTTGCGGATGCTGAAATTTCCCTTGTCTGGGCTGGTAAGAAGGCCTCTGGAAGCCAGGTGGTCCCTGGGGAACTGGTGGTCTAGAATTCGCCCCACCCCAGGAGAAGTTGGGATGCTGGCGCCACCCCTCGTTGTAAGTGTTGATGTAGGGGTCAAAGCGCGCGCCTGGCATTGCCGATAAAGTCCACCTGCTCCTGGGGGTTGGATTACCACAAGTGATGCTTAGGGTAATCACAGTGGACAAATTTTGAGGGCGAAATTTCTATAAGTGGGGAGGAAATGTGATACCTCGACTTCGATAGGTTCAACATCAGGTCCGGAATCATTTGGACCAAATAAATTGAGCCGAAATTTTGTCCCATCACACCCTGGGCCAAGTTGGAAAATTTTGAAAAGGGCAATGTGTCACTCAAACCTATTCAACGCTACCAAGCTAGATGAGAATATATGTTATGGTCCAGAGTACATATAAGAACTATCGTAAGCTATTCAAGACAAGGTAAAGGCACGCCATTGAAGTTCATATAGAAAGAGTGAAATCTTGAGCCAAAGAAGCGCGAGAATGAGGAGTATGAAAGGATGAGCTCGATCAAATTTCGAGGTCGAAATTTTTATAAGGGTGGAGGAAATGTTACACCCCGCTCTTCCCAAAAGTCAAAATGACTAACATACCCTTGGGTTAAGTTCCACCGTATTACCGATGAGGATTAAAAATGTGAACTAATTGTTCAAACGATGTCGACTATCGACATGAAGTGAGAAAATTATGGACGTTAACTGAATTCGGATTAAACTCACCCGTAATTAGAAAATTGCCAAAATGACCCCGAGGAAATTAAACCTAACCTAACCCTACTTCTCACTCGGCCTCACCTCAAACTAATTAAAACCCTCCTTTTTAATTATTTCTTGCCCACCGTGAATAGCTTTTGGCAGAGAAACAAGGAGAGACTTCATCGTCCCTAGCATCACCATCATTCCACCGAGGCAGTCAATAGGACAAGAAAAGCTAAGGCGAGAGGAAGACTTGGAAAGGGATCGATCAAGGACCCTAGCTCTGCGATAATGGGACAAGGAAGTGAAGGTAATCCATTCTCTTCTCATAAGCAGATTGGGGAAGGGATTCAATTGGGCACGAGACGTTTCCTATCTCCATAAATCCCTCCGAGAAATCACGTGTTCACCGGCAGCTAGACTAGGGAAGCATCACGTATGGAGCAGCCTTTACTTTTTCCACCGCAAGCAACTTTGCAAAAGCGGCGCGCCATCGGACCAGGTGTAGGGCGGTTGGGATAATCTCCTTGTCATTGCTGGACGATGGGGGCAGACGGGCAATTCCTCTCGGGAATCAAGGAAAAAGCGGCACGCCATCAGACCAGGAAGGCAGAGGATATCGTTCCCTCTACTACGCGAGCTGCTTGCTTAAGCAAGCTCGTGTAATGATTATTGTTACCTCCAGGACGACCTCAAGTTCCCTCATACTATGAGAGTTGCTATTGTTACCTCCGGCACCAAAGCAGTATTCAAGCAAGTACGAGTGTAATAGGGTTGGAAGCGAGTATGGAAACTTTGGAGCAAAATCAGAGCCAGTTCCGACGGAAGTAAGGTGAATGTAAAGGGGGTAAATTCTACGCCTTACGTATTCTTTAAAGTATTATGATTTTGAGTATTTTATAGTATTGGTTACCGTTGCTTGGTTATGTTTATGGTTGCTTATTTGTGCTATTTGAGGTGATTTTGTGATATTTACCTTTAGGCGTTATGTTTGAGCTATGGTTAAAGTTTAAGAAACAAGTTATTTTTAAGAAGTAACTCACCTTCAAGAAGGTGAGGTCGGTTAAGTGTTTTTAGTCACTAGCGCCAGTCCGTTGCCTTTGAGACATTTTGAGATAGAGCAGCAGTTATGCTCTTGAGACTTTTAAGATGAGCAGCAGTTATGCTCTTGAGAATCGTGGTGAAGAGCCACCACGATAAGTTTAAGATGTTTAGGGGATGAATCGTTACGACTCCCCTAACTAAGTTTAAGTTTAAGGAAAGCCCGGATGGCTTCTCATACGTATGAGTTGGCAACCGGACTAGCTAGTGAGGGATCCCAGTGTCAGTCAAGTATTTAAGTCAAGATTTGAGATTTAAGAATGGAGAACAATAACTCCCATACAGTTTTAAGAGTTAGGAATTTTAAGAGTGGAAGTACAAACAACTCCACAAATTTAAGTAAGTGTTTTAAGTAAAGTACAAAGCAGTAAGAATTTTAAACGTAAGGGCGTAGAGTGACTCCATCTCACTCACCAATTTGAAGAGCTAGAGAAGAGCTGGAGGAGCATTTAGTGAGCAGCGAATTCGAGGGCAGGCAACTAGAGGTGGGTAGTATAAGCGTCACAGAGGATGCTTAGTCAAGGTTTCAGTAGCAACAACATTAGAGATTATTAGTTATTTACATTCATGATTATGAGTATAGACTGGAGATCAAATTGAGATTTTAAAGTTTGAGTTTAATTTGCCCACATGTTAGGGCTTTGCTTTGAACTACAAGTGTGTGTTTTCAGTATTTTATTTATTAAAATTTTTCCCGCTGCAATTTAATGTTTGAGTATTTTATTTATCAAGGGCATGTTAGTAAAAGTAGTACCCGGCTAGGTTAGGGTGTTACAGTGGAAGACTCCCTCATCGCCTGACAATCCTCCACGGTGTGATGGGAACTCTCACACCACTGGCAGTGCATCGCCTGCTGCTGTCCTCTACCTGCAATCATCCCAGAGCGATCGATGGCTGAACCAGTTTCGAAACCACCTGCACCAAATCAGATGAATGGGTCAATCCACTCCTTGGCCTCCTTGCAGTGGTGCTCGTCTCGATCTCCTCGCAGTTCCCCAGTCATAGCCCTACTCTGCCATCTCTTCAAAAAGTTGATTCAGCTGTGGCGGTGTTTTGGTGAGCATATTCTCTCCACAGACCGAGTCAATCAACTGTTTGTCTTCCGGGAAGAGGGCATGGTAGAAGGTGCCCACCTTGAAGGCGTCAGTAAAACCATGGTTGGGACACTTGAGGAAGAGACTGGTGTATCTCTCCCAAGCATCCCGGATGGTCTCGTCTTCATCATGAGCAAAGTGGGTAATTTGCTTATGCAGGTCCGCCGTCTTGGACGGGGGATGGTAGCGAGTGAGGGACTTGCCCGCCAAGTTGGAGAACGTGGTGATCAATCCGGGGGGGCCTGGTGTCCAGCCACTCCTTGGCCTGCCCCTCCATAGTGAATGGGAAGTACCTCAGCTGGATGGCATAGGCTGGGACCCCATTTATCTTGATTCCATCGATGATATCATGGAATCGCCTCAGATGTGATCGGGGGCACTCCCCCTCCTTGCCTCGGAACACCACCAAACCGCGCAGCATGGTGATGACAGAGGTGCTCACCTCAAAGTTATTCGCTGGAATATGAGGGTGCTGAATGGGCGACCTCATGTCCGCGGCTCTAGCGGTCCAGTAGTATCCCATGGTCTGCTCCTCAGGAAGGACCACATCATGGTCCTGTGGGTCACCCATCTCTTCTTCGTCGGCGATTTGCAGTTGTGCTAGCTCCTCCTCCGCAGCCAGTTGCGCCTTTAGAGCCCGCTTGAAGTTCCTACAGGTGCGTTCAACCTCCTGGTCTAATGGTAGTAAATCTCCCGACTGGCTACGGGTCATGGACTACCTGCACACAATCAGCAAAAGCAACCCGTGAAGGCACACAGGCGGAAGAGAGAAAATGCATTAAAGAAAAAGCTAGAGTAACAAACTTTCACGTTCCCAATAACCTAGATGCTCCCCGGCAACGGCGCCAAAAACTTGACACGCTAAAACACAACACCAAACTGCGACCAAGTGTAATCGCAGTCCGGAAATGCAGTAACAGGCAGCCTCTAATTGTCAACCCAGGGTCTAGATCTACTGCCTACTCCGTGATTATCTATTATCTAGCAAACTAAGTTGAGTGATTGTGATTTTAACTAAAAGCAGTAAGAAAGCAGGAAATGGTTCGATTTTCTAAAGCAAAGGAAGAGTCACTCGGGAATGAGCCCCCCTAGCTCCTTAGTTAGGTCACATTTGTAATTACTTTTGGTTGCTTTACTGCTGATTATACTACTACGGAAGATCCGACAATAGCTTGGAATCTCTTAAGCTGACCAAGCCCTCTCAGTCAAACTACCCGGCAGACGACTAGTCTTCACCGGGATAGAACGCTGAGGCAATGAACACAGAACTCCACTACTGGAATTAGATTCCAGTACAAAGTAGTGAATCGACTAACTCTCGTATAATCGATTCACTACTATCGATTAAAGAAGCTCTAAAAACCTAATCAGATTCTATCTATCTCAGGTTGCAGCAGAAATCAATAAAAGATGATCAGACTTCAATTGACTCAATCAAAACACTTCAATCGATTATAATCAAGCAATATCACAATCCAAACGTAATTACAATCAAGATTCCTAACACATGGAACTAGGGTTCTTCATACCCAAGTGAGAGAAAGTTCTACTCCATAGAGAGAGAGAGAGAGAGAGAGGGAAACAGAATACAAAGCAGTCGTACTCATAAAAATGGGAAGAATATGCTCTGGTATATCAATCTTCACTCCTGGGGATGCAATCTGGGCTTCAACGGTGAGAAATCCACTCCAAATAGCTCCTAGGGTTTGTTCTTCGCACTTTCTCTCTCTAAAACTCTGTTTTTGCTCCAAAAAGTCGATTGTCTTTCCTTTGGCTCGAATCTGACTCAAAAACCCGATTCTGGGCAAATTACGGGCTGAATTACGGTCGTAATCATGGTCTGCCCGTAAATCGCCCAAAACGCGCGTTTCACTTAACTCAGAAGGGAGGATTTACGGTCATAATTACCCAATTACTGCCAGTAATTATGGAATTACGACCGTAGTTACTTTGACTATTGTCCTTAATTGTCTCTGCGACAGGAATTCTAAAGAATTAGGCTCGGCATTGCATTTACGGGCATGCCAGGAGCAATTACGCCCGTAAATGGGCAGGGGCTGCCCGTAATTTGCTCTTTGAATGGCCACCTGACCTCCAAATGACCCAAAACTTGCGCCTATGCACCACTTTACTTGCTAGGACATGAAATACGACAAAACAACACAACCTAGCGTAAAATAGGCTAAGGAACAACAAATTCGAGCTAAAATGGCCAGGAAACAAGGTGAAAACATGTGCAAATACGATGTTATCAGGTGCAGAGGAACACTAGCTTTAATGTAATCAATGATTGTTAGTTTGTAACCCTAGACTTGTAATTACTCAATTTCCTTATCTAATTCATGTTGAATGATGTTCTTACTTTTTTATAGCTTTGATTTGGGGAATTGTGTTTTGACCTAGGAGAGAGAACATCTTACTAGGTCAAAGTTGGGCATGCTTAGGTTATAGAAACTTGATTAATTTCATCAATCATGATTCAATTAGGTCATCCAGACTAAGGTTATGATGTTTACCCCAATTTATAGTTAGCTTAAGGTGTGATTAAGCTTTAATCTATGAGATGGAAATGAAATTATATTAACTGAGCATATATGGATTAGAGGGACCTTTTTGATTGCATGAAAGTGAGCCAACTAAGGTCTTATGTAGTGGGTGAGAGCCATCTAGAGGGAACCTAGAGCTTAAATCCTTGTTTAGTTGATTAGGTCGTAAAGACATCTCTCATAAGCAATGTAGTCAAAATCGCACTTTAAAACTTAAAAACTTACGATTTTACGTTTCTAGGTCACTAAAACACTTCTACACAAAATCTCAGTTTTTATAACTTAAACCTTAAAAACTTACGATTTTACACTTCTAGATCACCAAAACGTTTCTACGTGGAAACTCGCTTTTGACTGCATTGCTCATAACTAGCTAAATTAGAGGCTGTTGAATGCTTTAATCAAGATTCAAGATCAATCAATGGTTTCCCACACTATAAGAATGGAGTCAAGTTTGCTTTGATTGGATAGAAATTGGATGATTTTGGATGTTGATTATGCTACCTACACACGTGTTTAATGTTGGATTCCCAATAATTGACCATGTTTGGGGATTGTATGTGCATAGTCTTGAGAGATAGGATTGATAACCCCTACTTAATTTTTACCCCATTTATGTGTGAAAGTCATCATACTTAGGTCATAGTCATCTACTTTATGTTAATATAAGTTAGTATTTAGAATGAATGAGCTTTAGCATGAGTTATATTGTTTTGAGGGGACGGGATACAGTGACAACCCCTAATGGGGTTGTCAGATTCACAACCAAGGGTATTTTGGGTATGAAAAAAAGAAATATATTAATTACGTTGTATTAATTATCTTGGGAATTAAAAACTCATATTAAATACGATTTTTTTTGAAATTTAAATCCTATACATTAATATCTCTATCTATCTCTCTCTCTCTTCCTTTCTCCAGCGGCCACTCTCCATCGACAGACAAACTTTTTCTCCGGCGAATTCTCTCCGGCAGACTCCCTCCGGCAATCTGAAAAAATGTACAAGTGCGTTAAAAAGTGTACCAATCTATTAGTCTACTGGTAATTAATATACCAGTGCGTTAAAAAATGTACCAGTACTAGTGGTAAGCTACCAGTACAACGCTACCACTACCATATTGTATCGTACCACTAGCACTGGTAGCGGTACCAGTAGAGAATAACACAAAAAAAAAAAAAAACAGATGATAGTGGTATCAGATGATAGTGGTACCAGATGATAGTGGTACCAGTGAGTAGTGGTAGGGGAGCCACTAGTACGTACCACTGAGTAGTGGTAGCGTACCAATAAGAATTGGTACCACTAGCATTGGCGGTCTTCTCCTCGAGATTCTTCGCACCCCCGGCGGTGGCCTTGGCGTCGACGAGGTCGTTGAAGCCGACGCCGGAGGCAGAGAGCTCGGTGTAGAGCGCCATGGAGCGCATGTTGTTGTCGAGGAGCTGCACACTAATGTTGAGGATTCCTTGCGGCCGACCGGAGGGGCGGCCGATATGGAGCGCGACGATCTGGACGTCGATTTGGACGTTGCTGATGAGAACGCGGACGGAGCCGATCTAGACGTCGCGGAGCCAGGCAGCGGTGTAGATCTCAATCATGATGGCGGTGACAGCAGTCGCGGCAGGGCAGTGAGGACAGCCGACGCGGCGGAGGTCAGGGGTGGCGGTGGGCATGGGATAGGAAGAGGGAGATGCGGCGGCGGCAACGTCCGTGGAAGAAAGGGAGGAAGGGAAGAAGGAGGTGGTGAACGGCTGTGAAATTGGCATGAGTTAGATTAGGGTTTTATTATTTTAAATGGGAGGAAAAATGATTGGGTGGGGTAAGTTTTTTTCATCCCAAAAACACCCTTCTTTTCATCTCAACCTTCAATTTAAAAATAACAGGAGAGGGAAATCTTAAAATACTATCAAACAAACAAAAACACCATTCTAGGAGAAGAATGGTGTTGCAAAACACCAAAGTAAATCACAAGAAACCAGCATAAAACCACTACATAATAATTAAATAAACAAACACAAGACTAAATAAATAGATCTAAACCTTTCATAATAACATATATGTCCCCGACAACAACGCCAGAAACTTGGTTGTGTTTAATTAAAAGACACACACTAACTTCTAACCCTAACAATGACAAGGATACCCATGCTTGACTTGTAGTAAAGTGGATCGATTGTATTCCAAGAGCCCTCTAGATCTAGTACTACTATCGTCCTCGATCCATGATCTAGATCTAATACTACTCTCATCCTCAGCTCATTAGTAAAACCTTGGTGAAGGGTCCCGTGAGCTCGACTCATTAATTAATGAGCTCCCGACCTCTACTTAAGTTTGGTTCATCAATAAGATCATGAATTCGACTTAATCTCAACTCATTTATTCAAACTAATTTAAACCCTTAACCTAAAATCTAAATAATTTATAAATTAAACTCGTATATTTTTATGTCATGAATGATAGATTACATGTTATTGATGTTATGATGAACAAAATAAAGCGCATAAATTTTTTCACTTCAATTGGTTTCCCTAATTTTTCATCATTAACTGATATCATATCTATATACTCTCTTGGTATCATATTATTTAGTTCATAAAGTTTAACTAGTTCATATCATGTTATTTCATAGTAATTAGTATCTAAACAATCCATAATACATAACTTCTCTTTTAAAATATAAATGAGACACATTTGCTTCACATACTCAAAGTCTTACACATCATATGTGATGTGTATATAATTTAACAAACCTATGAATCATCAACAAGCCAATTCATAAGGTATAGATCGATGCACTCATAAGTAGATATTCAAGTTAGCTCCACTAGGAACAATATTGAGACATCCTACGAGCTCAAAAGAGTTCAGCTCAACAAGTCAGCGAGTCGAGCTAGCTCATGAGTCTTGCGAGCTCAATAAGACTTACCTCAATCTTTGCTAGTTAGTAAAAGAGTTGAGTTTCGAACGAATTTTTTTGATATGAATGTGAAACCGCTCGTGAACAACTCAGCTCATTTGCAGCCCTATCCACAAGTCACTCTACAGGCTGCAATCATATAATACCAAAATCGTGGGAAAGTTCCAAGTATATATATTCAAAGATTTGTGCTACAGATAGATGTGACAATTTTCAATCCAATCCAATCCATCTATTAAAATATCCAACTAATCCAATCCATTTTATTCAAATCCAATTGAGTTGGTGGATTCATGGGTTGATCCATGGATACAAATGGCAATTTACTATTTAGTACCTATACGTTTTATATTTTACATTTTGGTACCAAAATTAATAGTTTACTCAAAAAATATCATTGGAAAATTATGTTTTGGTACCTAAAATTTTATTGTGACATTTTAATACCCAAACTTTTCAACATTAAATATTGGTCCAAGACTTGGATGCCATTTGGATTCATGGATCAGTCCACCAATCCATTTGATCTAATCTATTTAATCCAATACACTTGATCTATAAATACACCAATCCAGTTCACCAATTCATGAATCCAATTCAATTATCACCTTTAGCTAGCTATAGATATGATACGTACATTTTATATTTTCTTCAACATCTGAACAGATGCTTACCACCACTAGATGAGGTTTCTCTCTGTCCTGTAATTCCTTCTTATCTAGCAACGAATATAATTAAATAACTGTGACTAGCTCAAAGCCTAAAATGTGGTACATGAAAGACAAGCATCATTCCTTTTCAAGTGTAATACCACAAAATAGACGTGTGGATGCTATCCAAAACAACATGTGTAGTGCTGTTTGCATGTGTTGGGCAAAATAAAATTAAAAAATGAGAATGATCCCTGAAAGTGCCCTTCACAAGGGATTGTCGTCTCTTAGTTCCCCATCTCTCCACTTGAAATTAAGGCATGTACCGAACAACAAGCAGCAAACAACACAACATGGAAATGGGCCAATGTGTGACCAATGGAATGGTGTGTTTTCTCTGAAGAGTCGCATTATCTTTAAATGGTTTGTTTGCTGACGATCATCTTTCCGAGAAGCAGCACCACATCTTTCTCCAACATGTCGCCCTGCTTTTCAAACCTAATCCTTACTAAGTACTACCCTTGTCCATGTGAGCGTTAAATAGGAGAGATTGTGAAATAGCAACTGTACTGTAGTAGGCCACACTATCTCCCTCCTATGTTGACATGTTTTAGTTTTGTTCTCGTAACTTTTAGTTATCTGCCTCTCCCCACACACAATAAAAAAAAAAAGTCTACACAAGTGGTACTTTCACGATGGAAAAATAAAATGGAATTAATATATTATATATATATATGGTTATGTCTTCGGTGCACTCACTTTTTTGGGTGTATTCAATGCACCCGCCTCATAATCGTCATTCTGAGCAGACGATTCATGTGAAAACGATGTCAATCATCCCTTGTAGTATGATGAACAAGAACCACATGAATTTGTACAAAAATCATTCAAGATTCACTTTAATTTGAATGATTCAGGGTTTAGGAATTTAGGGTCAGGGTTAGGGTTTACAATTTGGGATTTTGGGTTTAGATTCAAAATTGAATGTTAATAGGTTAGGGTAATGGGTTAATTAGTTGTGATTCTGTGTTATATCATCATATGAAACTAATGCTACCCATTAAATTTCAAAATTTGATGTATTATGACCACTTTTAGAGGTGAGTGCACTGAATGCACCCAAAAAAGTGAGTGCACCGAAGTAGCCACCATATATATATAAAGACTAAATTACACGTTTGGTCACTCAAATTATATAAATCTTTCACGTTTGCCACCTGAATAACTTTTCTTTCTTATTCGCCACTAACTTTACGAATCCTTTCACCGTTAGTCATCGGCCGTCAATCTCCGTTAACTCCGTCAGTTTTTTGATGACGTGGCAAACAGAATTGCTGACTGGACTGTTAACTTAATGACAAGTCAATTTAATAAAATGAA